GCCCGAACGGCGCCAGGGGGAGCGCAACCGGGACTGGCCCGAACGCCAACGCGAGCGCAATAAGGAATGGGGGGAACGCCAGGGGGAGCGCAATAAAGAATGGGGGGAACGCCAGGGGGAGCGAAACAGAGAACGGGGGGAACGCCAGGGGGAGCGAAATAGAGAACGGGGCGAACGCCAAGGGGAGCGAAATAGAGAACGGGGCGAGCGACAGGGGGAGCGCAATAGAGAACGAGGCGACGGCGACAAGCAACGCGAAAGGGAGAGGCCAGGGGAGCGAGGCGAACGGCATCGGGAACGGCAGGGTGAAAAGAACAAGGAATGGAGAGAAGGTCACAGGCAACGAGAAAAGGGGGAACGCGATGACATGCCATACGGAGGCCATAAGCTTTATGATCTTCACACAAGGGAGCCTCGCCGGGAGATCGGAAAGGAAACTGTATCATTAGCAAAAGGCAATGGCGCTACGGAAGGGTATACTGCAGCTTCGAACAACGGGGAGCGGCAAGGGCTTGGAGTGAGTACCGCTAATGGAAAAAAGCGTACGGCGAATAACGACAAGATCACCCCTGCGCAAAAAGAAGAAAAACCACCTCAGGATAAAGAAACTACACATTTTCGTCTTGTGAGAGTACCGAAGGATGTGAAGCTATCGACTATTTCTGAAGTAATAGAAGGATTAACGGGGGATAAGCCAAAGGATGCGTATTGGTTCGGTCGTGATAGCGTGCACGCGGTCCTCGAGATGAAAAATAAACTCTCGGTGACTAAACTGCTGAAGAATTCCACACTAAAAATACTCGACCATGAGGTTAAAATTGTCCCTTTCTATGTTTCAGAAAATAATTAACTTAGAAGGAAAGAAAAGCATGCCATGACAAAATAAAAAATATTAAACCTGAAAGAAATATTAATCATTAAATGGGCAAAATAGTATCATTAATTGCTGAATACTGCAAAATTTAGAATACGGTAGTTTGTTTATTAGAGTTGTGGTTGTATTTATCCTCCATGCTTAAATTGTCGGTGTAATTGGAGAGTGGGAAACAGCATGTTCTAGATTACGGAATACTAGTATTGAATTTTAAAATAAATAAACACAATGCTTAAATGAAAGCCATATATATATATATATATAAAGGAGAACAACGCAACGATAATGGTAAAAATGTTAATATCATTAGGGAAATGTTGCGTATGGTATCCTTTAGGAGTGGGAGGGGAAAGACGAATTGACTCATTTTCCCCACAACAATATCTTGTTTACCTCTTCCTTTTTTTCACACTTTTCTTCTTAATTTATCCAGTGATATCTAATCCATATCTGAATACATTCCTTTTAGCACGTATTAACAAAGACGTGTTATATTTCATTTGTATAGGTAATTCACATCTATACATATCGCTATACGTTTTTTTTTGCCAAGGCGAGGTATCGATCAGCGCGGTGTTTTTTATTCTTTACAAGGACATATCCAAAAAAAAAGGGTTCAAAAAAGAACAGGTCCCCTGTATAAGTTAACTTAGACAACTATTTGCTTTTATTCTATTGTGTATACACCCTTATATATTTATATTAGTCTATCTATATTCCGATATAGAGAGAGCGATATAAATATATAAAACGATCGGTATATCCAAC